TCACAAGGCGCTATTAACTTTTATCGGTCACATGCGTCTTTAGCCCCCATTAACATGCAACTCTACAGGTTTGTTAAGTGCACTTGTTCCTACGTGTATGTTAGCAAATTTAACATCAACAACATAAATAATCATCGATTCATCGCAAGTCAAGTGTTCATTAAAAAAACTGACGATGTTTCGTACAAATCTGATTAATATAATTCAGAATAAAAGGAACACATATTTGTCTTGGGGATTATCATTAATTGTAATTAAAAACATGCATTACATTAACCTCATTTTCCTGGCATTCCACCAAATGCTTTTTCCGGTTATATTTACCGACGATCTGGTGTCGCCACTGGAAGTCGACGCTCAAACGTTCGCATCGAATATCACTTCTTTAAATATCTTTAGATTCAGGAGAATTATTTGGATCTATCTTCCTTCAAAACGAATATTGTTTAAATAGTCATATCACAAGCAACACCCCACCATATAATACCATGCCGCAGCAACAGAATTGATTTGTTTACTATCGCAGTAATGTAATTTTCCGTATAAATCGTGAATTTTATGGTGACCGATAAAATGCTAAATATACCACGAAATGTTGAGGGTTATTACTGCCTCGTCCAAATTAAAACACTCGGCTCCACTACGCTCCGCCTGGATTTTTAAGTTTTGGTCTCTGCAGTAACTCATAACATTTCCAGGTATGTTAATACCTATTACCAGATAGGATGTCAAAGATGTTAGGTATAAACCTAACACCCGTCAAAATGATCGGTCTTCGTCGTCTAGTAAATATAGTTATATGCCTGTGCACATTGCTATTTTTCTGCTTAAATATTAAAAGCCACAAAGCGCTGAGTTTACAAAACATATTGTTGAGAATTTTAGATAAAAGCCCGTCACCTGTCAAAATGATGGGTGCCGTCCTCCTAGCGTTAAAGAAAATATTAAAACAAGCACGAAACTAATTTGTCAACTCTAAGTTTGCTGTGATAGTACACAAATTAAAAAAACTCAGCACATAAAAACTGAGCAAAAAATAATGCTGTACTATCGTTTTTAAGGAACAATATCCAGGCTTGTAACCATCTCCCAACTTTCCCTGGCTTCTACAAATTCTCTGATTTTTTCCAATTTTTCAGAATCGCCATCATCCTCAATAACCAAAACTGCTGCAACATAGGAGGGAGGAGCGGGGTGTATTCCATACAGAAACCCTTACAAATGTTCCAAAATAGTAATGCCCTTTTTTAAGTATCCAACGACACACTAACCTTCCAAACACCCCTTGCACCAGGCAACCAGTGCTTGCCAAACGGCAACTAGAGTCGCTCCGACAACAATCAAATTCTGTCTTTAAGAGATCTTTTGCGGCCCCCATAACAGTCAGAAATAATAACAGTTCCACCTTTGTCTCCCTCTCATCAAAAATAATATTCATCTTAAGAGGTTCCCAGTGGAGATGCCCGTATTCAGGAACAAGGTCAAGTGAAATTAATTGCACATGCTCTATTCTTGAGACTCATTATACATCCTCCACTAGTTCTAAATGTTGTACAGTACTTCTACTCACTTGTAAAGTGGCAATTCCATTGATCGGGTTTAATAATAATAACAATAATGATAATAAAGAAATAATTTTCTTTATGAAAGCATTGACTGTCCCTGCACAAAACACAAAATTGAGATTCTTAAAATATGGTAAATAAAAGAGTAATGATTCACATTTTCAAGAAGAATATGCAGAAAAATTAGCAATATACAGAAATTTGATGCTTATTAAGATAACCTGGATCATCAAATCATGCTCTAATAAACGGAAAATTGAGCATTTCATGCATGGAGGTAAGTAAGAATACTCTGTGACTGCAGGAGAATAATACCCATTGAAATCTAGGGCTTAGTCATCCTACAATTATCTAGGAAACAAGTCACAGGCATAGACACTTACTTCAATTGAGCAAAGTTTCCAAATTGTAAAATGTTTTATGGCAATCATATTCATTAGCCTGACCGCACAATGGCTTACAACTTATTTGGGAAGACCAGCTGCATTCAGAAGTTTTCTGTAATATTCTCTCTTTCACAACATAACTGGATCCTATCACAACAAGCTTATTTCATTATTAACAAATTTTCTCTCTCTTGGAAGGGGTGCTTAATTTAAAGATCCTAAATAATAATCTTTAGTTGTCCAACAGATCTTTCTGGATGGAACTATTTTTTTGACATAGTATAAATTTAAATATACCTTTTATATCTTCTGGTGTAACCATCACAACAAATTTTACTGCATTCTTATCTTTAAAAGTTATATAGCACCATTGTTGAATTGAACGGATACATTTGACTGCTGCTATTCCATTATTTGCAATTAGAACCTGTAAATCGACAGGTCTGTAATAAAACCACATTTCTAAAATGTACAGAAATACTAAAAATAATTTGTAACCTACTTTTTGAATAGGTTTTAAGCCTCCAGAATCAAAAACAAACTTTTCTATCACTTCACTGGATGTCATTTCCATGGCCATTTTAGATGCTCACCAAAAGCAAGAAGGAAAAAACACAAGACATTAATAACATTCTTATTCTAATCCATCTTGACTGAAGTCTTCTCACTTCTATTAATTATACTTAACAACAGCATCTGTTATGCTCAGCAGTTAAATATGTAAGTTTACATACATCATTCTTCTCATTAAATACTTACTGTCTCAACTGAAGTTTCCTATGGACACACAGTTGATGAACTAAAAGCTGTAACCAACAGTTAATGGTATAAGTAGAATGACCTTTTTGCCACTACAATTGCATACTAAATACAATGAATATCTATGAGGCATTGTCATACGAAGTTCTCATAACACAAAAGCCTGTCTAATTTTGAATCTCAATTGAAAAAAAAAAAAAAAAAGAAAAAAGAAAACAACACACAATAAACAAGTGTCAGCCTACAAGCATTAATAATCACTTACCAAGGTAGGGTGAAGGGCAGGAGGGAGGGGGAGAGGTGGCCATGATACATTCGTGTTGTATTTCCCCCCCAATATCTTTGTTTAGAAAAGGAGTTACTGTTTCATCTTTTAGGACTTTTAATATTAGACCTTTCTCAAAACCCTTGGTGACACATCCATCTTTCAATGCTTATTGGGTGACCCTCCTCACAGCCCACAAAAAAGTTTCATGGAAACTGGCATTTCCTTTTTTGAAGTTTACCCATAGAAATACAGGAGTGGCCAAATTAATATACTCAAGTGTTTTTTTAGGCCATTTTAAATTTTGTTTCGTAAACGGGTTGACGGGTGTTATTCGAAACTGTTTGAAGACGCATTTGAAAAATTTGTGGTGTATTTAAGGATGGAATAAAATTAAAAAATAATTTTTAAACAATGTTTAATACTTCAATAAATTATTTAAAACTTTCTGAACTAATTTTTCATCATTTTACCAATATTCTTACGGCACTCTGAGTTTTCATGCGTACTGGCATGCTTATACATTTTATGGTCTTTTCAGACAATGCAGGAGAATTATTCCAAACCCCTGCCATTTTCATGAGATGTTCTTTCTTAGTTTTAATAATTTTATCCTTTGAAACTCCCAGACCAATCTATGGCTTTTATATTGTTTTTCTTGGGAAAATGTGTTATTTTTAGTGCTTTGTGACACAGAACCAAATCGTACTTCAACAGTCGTTGTTCTGCAACCACTCTTTCACCTGAGGAAGGAGCACCTTTTCCTGCAGCACCTCCATGTATTGGTCCTGAAACATGGTTCCTTGTACAAAGTAGAGCCTTCCGGCGCCATGATGGCTAATAACCATAATGTAACAGAAAACAGATTTTTCATTCATTCCATAATGCAGTCATTATTGTACTTGTCTACCGCTGCATCAAATGAACTATTTCTTGTTTTGCGAGATCTAGATTGATGACTCGCCTAATAAGCAAATGTGCAAAATTATATTTTTGGAAGTTTTTGTTCTCATTGCCCATTTTAATTTTTTAAACAAACTACTAACTTTGTTCCAATTCATATCAATTTTTAGCAAAATTTAACCTCTTGTTCATTGCAAGTTGAATTTTGGGTTTCACATAATCGGTGACAGATCCATTTCAACAAACCTTGTTCTGAGTTCACTCTAATGCACTCGAGTATCTGAGAATCATGTTCACAAATTTTTCTGTTTCTTGACTGTTATCTGATGCAAAGTGATGAATTTTTCATTCAGTTCTTGGCAAAATTATTTTTCTCTACCACTATTTCCTACCGTTTTGCTTTCTAAAGGGCATGAACTTCTCTATTAATATTTTGGACTGTTGACTGGAAAACTACATCCAAATTAGCAATTTCTCTTTTTGTGTACTTACGATGATTGAATGTGGCAATTCATTCTTTTGTCCGTGGTGTGAGATCAAAACTTTCACCCCATGACCACTGAAACAACCTTTTTAGGTTATGTTAGTTCTTACCACAATTCCTTACATCAGGAAGTAAATGACAGTACATGAGATTACCTGGATAACAATACCGAAGAGAACAAAAATGTCAAACAACTTCAATCAGCAGTCATGTACAGACACTGTAAAAATGATTACAGAAGAGCTATAAGGCATGTTGGCCAATTTACTAACATCAAAAGTAATGATAAACGCATATATTTGAAACTAACAGTCAGTTGAAATACTTCAATTAAAAAGTAAAATTACCAAAATAATGAAATTTTCATCTTGAGTATAATTTGGCCACCCACTGCACATATAGCCTGGTTTTGGTATCTGTTGATGTAGATAATAGATATGAAATCAGAGGAAGATTGCAAGCAATGAACTAGGATTTCAGGGAAAGGGTATTGCCATTGTGTCCCTGCAGAAAGAACTGCAAGTATAGAAATTGTTCAAAATATATATGGCCGTACTCATATCCCGAAATATTTAAAACAAGTAGTAAAAGATTGAAGTATATGGTTAAATACATACATTAATAGTAATTAAATGTAAAGAAAATGTCCTTCACTTATATTGCAATTTATTACAGAGTTTGGTGTTGACCTCTCCCCCTCCCCACACACACTCGCACAGGTGTTCATTGGGTACTGGAATGCCATTGGTATGCGACTGTTATAGGAGGCTGTACAGCAATGAAATTCACAAAAACAGATAACTTAACAGGGCTCATGGTAGTAATTTTATTTCATAAGTTCCAATCAACACACTAATTTTCAGAAATTTGATTCATAAACATATACAGAATTTTATTATACACAACGTTAGGCATGACTATACTCCCAAACAATTGCATTCTCAGTCAAACCAACAGGCATCCTAGTATCTCTCTGTATTAAAAGCAATTTTCACAAATTAGGTTATAAACTTCTCAAACACCATTAGTTTTCATGTAACGCAGTCGATTTTTTTTAAGGAGGCAAGAGATACTTGAACAAGAATGCACAGAAATAACGACAAAGACAGATTTTATCTCAGTCAGTTATCTGCCTAATAAAAAAAAATAAGAGAAAAATTACCTCATTTCCAAGGAAAATAGGCATTATTGAAAAAACTTATTTAATGTGGGGAAGTCTCGTATGGAATTTTTGTTTATTGCATCTATGGCTAACTACACAAAACAGCTTACAAAGTACCAAGAATTGAAGGCATTACACCATCATCCATGTTGCTTACGTTGTTGGTGGTTGTTTTTTTTATGTTGTTTTTTTTTTGGTCCTTTTGCGATTCATCCAAACATTTTCTTGGAAACAAACACATCCACATAATTGTAAAACTTGGATTCTGGACCACGGAAAGATTAACGACAAAAATAATATACTTAAAAAACTTCAACCATACATCTTGGAGAGTAAATCCCACCACTGATGCATGTATACAAAAAACACACGCTTCTATTATCCAGCGGGGATAGAGGATAGATGAAAATCCAGAAAGATATTCTTCCACATAAGCTCCTGAATCAAGAGTTCATTTCACTTCTTAACAAGTTCTTCAATGCGACTCTTTTTATTTATTCTTTTACTAAATGACTACTAAAAGTTTCACTTTGATGCTTTACTTCATTGTAGACATACATGACAGTGAAATTCCCATTTGCAATTCAACAGTAAGAGACCAACAGTAAGTTGCATTTAAATACTGTGCAAAGACATGAAAGCAATATTTGGTAAGTGAAATAATTATTTTTATTTTTCCACTTTTAGTCCCTTATAATATAATTTCATTACCAACACCACTTTGTTTTTGTTGATACATTAAATCTCATCATGGTACGTCACAACAGTACAGATGTTACATGCAAATCTGGACATTTCCTTCATCTGGTCCTCTGCTCTTTCCGTGCTATGTGCCTTCAGAGCTTGCATTTTACACACCACAAACACCACTTAAATAACGATGAAATAAATCTTTTGCATTAATATTGCCCTTGGCAGTGATCATTCCAAACACAAAAATCAACAAAAACAAAATTGCTGTTTCTTTCTCTTCTTATTCCTATTAAGTCATATCATGATGAGTCATTGGAAGTCAACAGACAGCTCCATTTCTATTTCTTGGATATGCTCTTCTAAAAAACCAGCCCACATAGACTTCACCTGGCACTGATCAAGTTCTTGGGTAGCACAAAGTCTTGCTTCATGATTTTTTGAAACAATTTTTTGCACTCTTTACATTGCTTCACAAATCATTATATTATTTTTACTAAACGGAATTATATGCAGGGCATTTTCACAACTCAACACTTCCACATGGCAATACTACGAAAGACAGGGTAGAACCGTCTAGGTTGCAATGAATAATAATGCAAGTCACCAATGGAGCTATCATTAGATCAAACACAAGGAAAGCAATGCAATGTCCATTCCATCAATTTGTTGCAATCCTTTAGAAAAATAAATACAAATCAGTATATCTAATGATTAGAAATTATTAGGGGTGAAAACTGACAGAATACGGCATATTTTGCAAAGCTCTTCTGTGCTACAATTCACTTCTTTTTTCTCAAAGGCAGAAGCAACATCCCCTTTCTTATGAAGCAGTTGAAGCTTAACATGTACTATTCCCACAGTTTCAATTAGTCTCTTCACATTCATGTGTACATTGTGAATGTGATTATATATATAGAGAGATATATATATATATGTATAATGGGGCAACAAATGAGTTTTCCTCTTCCATTTTTCTTCAGGATACTGCATCAACTTCTAACTACATGTATCACACGCATAGTGGGTATGCTATGATGGAGAAACAAATAATAGGATCAACAACTGGTACCAACACTACTCTGCTGCAGGAGCAGCACTCTCCTCTTTGCCATTCTCTGCTGGGGAAATTTTATGTTCTGGTTGGGAAGCTACACTTGTCACAGGCTTGCTACTTCCTGGAGCTGAGTTGCTGCTTCCTGAGACAGTTACATTTTCAGTGATCTTGTTTTCTCCTGCAGTTTCAGGTTTTCCATCCGATACACTTTCCATCTTCACATTGCTCCCTAAAAACGACAAAATAATTTACATCAAAATTACAAATATTATGTTACAAGCCTATACTCTAAGCATTTTATAATAAAAAATAATTCTGAAATTCCATTTTTAAATAAAGAAAGTATTATTTCCATTTGAGTATGTTATCATACAGAAAAATTGAATATTGAATATACTATTGTCAATTAACAGAATAAATTCTTACATTATAATAAAGACTTTCAACACTTCAATTTCAAATATTTTATAGTACATGCACAAGATCTTATATATAAGTAGCGTAAATCGGCAGACACTGCTCTGCCTTCATCTCCCTTTCCCTCTCTTCACCCCCCCTCCCCCAACAAATATGTATTAGAATTTTAAAAAATTGATCTTTTCTGTAGATTTCGGTGTAAGAAACGTTTCTTAAAGGCCTTCGGCTTCAAAATTTTATTTATTAATGTCCTAGAATGCGTTGTTTCGGAGTTCAAAAAATTTTACTGAGAGTTGCAGGTTGCATTTGAAATGAATAGTTTTGTTCTACAGCGCCATCTAGAGAATTTTTCCGATATTTTAATAGTTATTCTGGTATTTGAGCACAGATGAATCCAACAAATCAGAGATAATTAAAATTAAAAGTGACATTTTTTAAATTCTGAGAAAAAAGTGTTTATATAAATTAGATCAGTGACAATATAATTTCGTGGTTTTAATGAAGAATTGAAATGCTGTGGTTTGAAATGATGACACAAAGGACCACAATTTTTCAGTGATAGTGAATTAAGTAAACAGTTTTCACAGAATTTATAAAATGTAACTTATACCGTTCTTGTTTTCAGCCATGCAATAATATTTTATCTGGCTCTCACAAGGTGTATACCAACGTACCATGACTGTAATATGGCTGGTTGTTGCCTGGTTTATTTACATTTGCTGGTTGCCGTGATGGCTGCTGATGCTGGGGTCTATGTCGTCCTCCCATTGAGTTGGCACCTTGTGTGCCACCACCTGGGAATGGCACTGGCCTCTGAATAGGCTGCGGGTAGCGCTGAGTTGCAGTGGGAACACCACTACGTACAGTGATGCTCATTTGCCCACGCACACTTTGTGGAAAAGCCTTTAAACAAAATGGTATTCAGTGGTCTATAAGCAAAGAATCATCTTACTATGGTACAGTAAAAACAAAACAAAAAAACAACACACACACACCAACAACAATAACAACACATGAGTAAGCAGACAAATTTCAAACTTGTTTCACTTTTTTCATTGAAATCTAGGGTGCTAATCTATCTTGTTGAGAGTTTTGCACTTTCTTATAAAGTACATGAGCTGTCATTACTCCACAATTATTATCAAGATGCATTAATGTAAAAGCAGGAAGTTCTGCTAATTTGAGGCTTTTAACTTAATCTCTAATCATATTGATTGAGCTTTCAGAAGAATTATTCAATGGAAAGGAATATTTAGGAGGCTAGATTTGGATTTGTTTCTTGAATGGTCTGAATTTACACTTTTATTGATGAGTGGCAATTGATTCTTGTAACATGACCTGCTTTGCTGAAGAAACGATCATCAGACCTTTTGAAAACTTTTAGATTAGGGACAGTAGCTGTGTTCTGGGGTAGTACACTCGGTGTATCAAGTCAGTTTCCCAGAAATTTCTTGTGTTGCATTAGGTGATACCTAGATTTCATAAGTTTCATACTATGACCTGGTAATTGGGATTTTTTAGATTGCTGGAAGTTGCTGTTGAGGTCAAAGTACAAAAGAAACCAATCTGAATAACTAGCAAAGAATTCTAAACTGACTAGGTCAAAATCGAGCAGTGTCGAAATACAACAATTGCTCACATGTGAGAAAATGCTGAGGCTAAGGTGAGCAGCATTGATCCACGTCTCATCAGATCATTTCGTTTCCTACAACTGATAAGAGTGATGAATGGAAACAGAGCTGAACTGGGGTACCACTGAATGTTGAAATATATAATGCTACCTAAATAAATGTAGAATTCTTACATTTTTTTACTGAATGGAGCTATATACATAGTATAGAGAAAGTTATGTAATGCTGTGGAACATAGATTTCGAGATTTCAGCGGAAAAACATGTACTGAAGTCCCCTGATACTAAAGTGTTTTTTCCAGATATACCATAAAAGTGTAGGATTGGTTGTCTAGGTAGCCTACTGGTCAGAGCAGCTAGGCGTAAACCAAAATTCCCGGGTCTGAATCCCAGTCGGGGTGATCAATTCTCGGAACAATTTTAATTATAACAATTATTTTATTATGTTTTGGTGCAACTAATCTTGCTCATGCTAGGTGAAATCCTAAAGAACTTCCCTCTCCCCACTACACGAAAAAAAGAGACGTGATCTAAACGCTCATGCGTATACTAAACAATTACGACTCCAGACCGGACTAATTATATATTTCTGTGACTTCACACTTACCATTCTCAAAATTGTAATTTTGGTGAATTGTTGCTGTTCTAACACACTAACCATTTTTTTCATTACATCTTTTTTTACAGAAATTTAGTATTATATCACATATGTTGCAATTTTTTTCTCTCACACTCACTCACTCTCTCCCACACACACACACACAACCCCCCCCACACACAAACCCACACACACAAACTCACACACACACACACAAACCCACAAACACACACACACCTATATTATTACTGCAGTCTGTTTACTCGCGGTACACTACGTGAAGTCATGGTCGGATGTTCTGAAAGTCCGGTGAACCTGCTCCACTGAACTCAGTGCCGGAAGTGCACGTTACTGACTGAGATCATTTTCACCTTTAGGTGTGAAAAGTATCAGTGCTGCTGGCTTTTGCGACCTTTAACCCTAATTTCTGAGAAATATTTCGCAATCCACAAAGTGTAATACTTCTATGAGAATGCGGCACATTGCAGTGATTATTTGCTGATCGTAGATATTGCCGGCTTGTATGATGGCTTCTATTGCTTCTAGCCTGGCTGCTAAACTATGATTCCGTATAGTAATAGATTAATCATTTTACTACCAAAGGGAAAGTTTTGTGATGCAAAGTATGCATAAACTTGTGCTCTCCAAATGATTTCTGAAATGATTGTATTTTTTTTTGATATTTGTAATGTGTTTTGTAGTTAGTGTATTTTGATATAACATATTATATCCAATTTTATATACTTTGTACATATTCTTATGGTTTTCATTACATATTTACATACGTATTATGATACTCCATACTACATATTTTTCTGGCCTCCAATTACGACAATTGGTGCATGCAGTGAAGTCTTAATGCGAGATTCTGCAATGAGACTGAATAATAAATAGCAAGTTTTATGATGAAGTAAGAGTTTAAACACTTCATAGCTTCATACAAGTAGGATTATTTGAAGTGTGTTATATTTCTTTGTTCATTTTTACAGCATGTAACCGAGCATAGCCATAGTTTTTTAAATTAAGTATTTTTACTTTTTACAACTGATGCTTTACAAAATGAAATTACTTTAAAACACCATAATTCTTTAATTTGAGTTTTTTAAGTTACTCTGTATAATTTATAGTGATGTGTTGCACATTTTGAATTTTTTTGGTAAAAAAACAACAACAACAACAACAAACACCACCACTGGTCTTATTTAATTGTGTATTATAGTAATTCTGGTTTTGAATATTGAATCTCGCTCCCTTGGAAGGCTTCACGATTTTCATTTGATTATGTATTTGTTAACCGGACTAATGGTCTGTCTATCAATTAAATAAAAATAAACAATTCAGTGCAATAAATTTTAAGATTTTAACAATTTGCAATTTCAATAAAAACAAATTCATTACATAAATTTTCAATTAATTGTAAAACTTTTGATTCATTTATAACTCCATAAATCATATATTTCAGTCAACAGAAACTCTTGTCATAATATTCTATAATTATTGTTATTATTCTTATTATCATTACTACTGCACAGATAACATTCTGGTTCCAGTCCAAGAATGTCAATTTATTTTATAACTTCAGAACATGAAAAAAATATGAAATGATATACCAGTTGGGTTGAAGCAGTCATTCCTTGATAAGGAGAAAACTTATGATGTGGGGGTTGTTGCTGATTTTGTTGAGAAGGCTGCTGCTGATTTGGGCTTTGCTGCTGTTGCTGCTGCTGCTGCTGCTGTTGTGGGCCCTGCTGTTTTGAGCTGCGAGACTTTGGCGATGGTATTTGAGGACCTGAAACACAATTGCCCCTTATCAAAATATAAATAATTAATGAACAGCTAAGCATAGTGAGTACATGTGTACATGAAAGAAAATCTATTGAAAGTGGCATATATAAATTAGAATGTTCTATGAACGAACATTTTTTGCCAAAATTTATGTGCATTTCCCCACGTTTTTAAGATTATATGGACTACTCCAGATACAAAATTTTGTCAGCACATTAAAATTAATCAATGTCGGCTTAAGCTTGAAGTTGAGAGGTCAACTTTAGTTAAGGAGAATTAATGGAATGATTAAAATATTATTGAAGTTAATTATTGGAGATATTTGTGAAATTAAAAAATACAATTTGTGATAATTGCTTTAATGACACCTTATTATTATGTTTATTTTTTTCATCAGCAGTAGTTGTTAATTACTCTACCCTGACCATCTTTTCAGACACTGTGAGGAGACTCAAGAATGCAAGAAGAGGAGGCTCAAGACTGCAAGAATAAAATTTGCCGATCTGCTCAATTCGCACATACTATGAACTCTTACCAATTCTCTCCGTACTTATACCCCCCCCCACACACACACACACACACAAACAACGTCCCCCCTTTGAAAGGTTAACAGTAGTTTACGATTGCAAATGAAACATTCTTCTATGTTGTCTGGCATTTCCGAAGTATGTTAACAATTATTTTGAAACAAAACTGTACGTACCAAATTTGTCATTTATTTCTCCAGAGGGAAGAAAATACCTTCCACATGTTGAGTTTCTCTGAATCAATTTTTAACCATTTTAAATTTGGTTTGAACATCAATGTAGTTATCAAAGAGTGACATAACTGAAAGTTCAGAAGTGCCAACTAACTTTATTCAATACTGATATGGAAATTATTCCAATCAATCATTTTAAGACACTGAGGCACACTATTGGCGCTTGTGGTTCTAACCTGCTTTCAAGTTAGATCTAACACAAGCTATTACAATTAACAGAAAAATGTATTTCAAAGAATATACATTCTCAATGGATAATTGATGCTTAAGACATTCAGCAAAATCATTTTAAATATACAAATTGCTCTTCTCATCTATCAAGCTTGATGTGACGCCCCAGGGAAGGGTGGCAGTGAAATTTCATTTTATTCTTTTTTAAAGAGTTTTAAACGTTCTTGATAACCGTGTTTTAAATTCTGATTCTACAATTTTCTTATATATAAGTTCAAAAAGTTTTTAACATCTTCCTCTATATACTGATGGGGCAGTGGGAATTTCAATGACACTTGAGTTATTGATTCTACAAACAGGTCAATTTATGGCCCAGACAAAAAAGTACTAGATCATAGACATTAGACAATAAACGATGAATCTGGTGCTATATTGTTTTCGTCATGTAGTCTGAAGGAGAAAGAGGAGGCTTGAAGAGAGCTCAGAGAATCACTTGAAGAGAACTACTAACCAAAATGACACCGACAACAAATTTAAGGGCTCGAAGAATTGCCTGCATCACAGTAGTGAATGATTGCCCTGAGAGTTAATTTGGCAACCTTAATACAATGTAAAAGGCAAGCCACTCCTGCGCTGGAAGATGAGTCATCAGTGAATATGAATATATGATAGTTTTAGTTAGATAGGGTAGTTTGTATCTAAACTGGGCCTGTTGAACAAGGGAAAAAGTAGACTGTTTGGCAAGGTTGGAGAATCTGAGGTCAATACTGGGATGAAGTTTCAAAAGGGTAGAGAGGTTGCTAGGTGGGTTTTAGCAGGAAAGCAGATTGCTTGCTTAACTGACATGAATACGAAAAAGGTAAGTTTACAATATGATCAAAAGATGGCAGCATTGACTAGATTGGCCAATACAGCTGTTTTATTCAAGTTCTATGTAATTTTTTTTTATTCTTTTTGAGTTCCAAAGTTGTATGTTAAGATAGAACCCACATGCTTTAGAAGTTCCAAAGTTGTATGCTACTTCCGAGAATACAAAAGAATCTTAAGAAAAGTAATAGTTCAGGCAAAAATAATGAAAAATAATCGTACTTTAAATGCTAGTAACAAAACTAAAGCAAAGTGGAATATCGTAACAAATACAACCACATCATCTCGTTACTTAGTAGAGAATGTTGTTTTAAAGAATAATGAAGGGGAAGTCAGTAGTCCAGAAAAAGTGGGAAATCTCTTCGACCAACACTTTTCTAGAATTGCGGCTGAACTCGCGAAGGGACTAAAACCATCAAATTGAACATCATTACCTTCCAAAAAAAATTTTAGACACTATTTTTATTTCCGAAACTACTTCTAACGAAATCTTACGGATAGTAAACTAAAAAATAAATATTCATCTGATTTACATTATTTTCCAGATTGTTTATTGAAAACGTGTGTACCTGCCTTCATACACTCGTAACCAGATGACATTAAACAATTAAAGTCGGTACACAAATTTAAGTTAAAAGTACAATCTTTTCTGCAGCATAACAGTTACTACAATTAGACTATACTGATTATCAAAAAGAAAAATAATGTTTATTTTAACAAAACAGTAATATATAATGAATTAGTTTACATTTGTATTGTATATTTATTTTTAAATCACTTAATATGTTTGTAACAAATAATGTACATCAGCTTCTCAGCTAATGACCCCCATCTCGATCAGGTTTTTGTCCAGTTTCCCTCATGCATTGAGCAAATGCTTAATGGCCCCTTGTTTTGCTTCTGGACATAAATGTAGCTTCTCTATGAGCACGTTTTGTTGTCTCCTTTTGCTTGTAATGATAAGAGTTGAGGTATGGGCGAGTTGCTACATTGTTAGCAATGCAGAAAAATCATACTTGCAATTCGTGTACTTGCAAATACGTTTTCTATAACTTGGAAACAAAAATGACTATTTTTCAAATATTGCTAATCTCACGATTTTTAAAATTTATTTATGTTAAACGTTCTCTCATCTGTCAACTATTTATAGTTAAAATGACGGGAAGGGATTCTGGAACTCAAGAAATACGTGCACAGATAATCTTTTCCACCCTGTATCACAGAGTTTTTACTGTTTTTTTGACTGAATAAATCTAAATCAATTACTTCCACCTTTGTAATACAGAAGTTATCCAAAAGTTAAAATGATGAACAAACTCTTCCCGTCTGATGCAGATGCACGATTTTTACAACATTCAATTCATGTCTGTTCGAAACTGTTTATTTATAAACAGGGTGACCAGCAATCTGGCTTTTTGGAATTCAAGGCTTTCCCCTGCTTTTTCAAATCTGAATATAGGTTTCCCACGATCTGTTTCACACATTACAACACACATTTTTCTTTTATTATTATTCACCCATACTATGTTTTGTACACACTTTTCTTTCAAAACTAGGTATTAGAGTGTAGATTTTTGTATAAAACCAAGCATTAAAGAAAACTACTTCCCCCCCCTTATGAAGCATATGTTACTAATTAATATTCAGAGGCCTTAAATGCTTGAAAAAGTACTTTGTTGTCTGGAAACGTGATCTCTGAACTGATGCCAATGCAGGGTTGAAAGTACTGTACTCCTTAGATCAGTTTCGGAAAATGTCGATACTATCATGAATAAATTTTCAACACGCAAGTAAGATTTTCTCCTCTAGACCTAGTAATCAGTTCTCACAAATAATTTAGAGGATAACTGTACATTACATCACATACCTGAAAAGTATGCTTAATAATACGGAATTTTCGGAATGAATGTCCAAAATTGTACACATTGGCTCGAAACATCCTAGATATCTTAGGTAGGAATTTTGAAGATTTCATAATCGATTTTGCAATACAATAATTTTAAAAAGTAGTTCAGTAATAGTATTTAGGATCATAATAGTTTTCTGACCAATTTAAATTTTTCAAGGAGATTTCAGATCCCCCCCCCCAAAACACTTTTTTCCCTTTTCTCTTTTCCCCTTTCTACACAGAGATTTTGCTTTTTATGCTTAGCACAGTTTCAATGGATAGATAACATTTAATCATCTGATTTTATCTTTTTTAATTATGTTTGGTTTTTAAAATATTCTTGAGTTGAAAGAAGGTGACTTGTAGAGAAGCATGACAGAAAGAAACATACAATTCATATCACCTCTAATCAACTTGCGCAAAAAGATCAACCATTCAGAGAACGTTGGGATTTAAGACAAGGAACGTCAAGCCTTATTGCAATGTGTGGACGTCTGTGGTCTACGGTCCTATACCCCCAAGCATCAAGCGGCAATCCAGTAAAATGTATATTGCACAGTCTCTATACTCGATATATGGTTGCTAAAAAAAGGGAGACCTTACAGCAGAGGAAAACATAAAAATGGGTTAAACTAACAAAAGAAAGAAAGAAGGACTTTAATGTCGTTATTGAATGAAATTCATTACAGGAGCGCTTTATAAAACCCAAAATCTGGTTTGATTTATTACAGTGCACTGGATACAATAATTAAATGACACACCAGAATCAAATATCACAACCAGATCTCCCACAGATGCGACTCTCTCCAACTCAATAAGCTTGTATTAAAAAGCCTCTGCCGATCTAGCTCTGGTATAAGTTATCGACTTTCATTTCTTGACATTGAAAAGTCTGTAATTTGTAATGCACCAATCAGACAGAGAATTCAATGCCTTCTGCAAGAGAATCCTGTCTTTGACTGTCTGAATTCTCAACAAAAGCTTAAGATTGTCTGCAAAGAGCAGGTATTCAGCTTCATTGACCACTTCACAAATGTCATTAATAAAAATACTAAACAATAGTGGACCTAAATGACAGCTTTGTGGAATGCCTGATGAAGGTGCAAAAGGGTACCACCATATGAGATGAACTATATAACTGCAGAACCAACTTAATAGTGGTCCACGTATTCCCAGGCATTCTAGTTTGTGCAATACAATTGCATAGTTAAATGGAATCAAAAGCCTTACTAAAATCAATATAAATACAGACAGTTTTGACAATTATGTCCCATCACTCAGAGAATGTAGGTAGAATAGTATAGAAGATTCAACTAAATATTTCTGTCTGGCATGAAGCCAAACTGTCTCTCAGACAAGAGAGAATTCTTTGGCAATCTTGTCAACAATCAAAGATTGTAAGAGCTTCAGTATCACAGTGAAAATTGATATTGGTCTGTAGTTAGTCATGTTTGTTGCCGGACTTAAAAATAGATAAAAGAGGATGCTCTTCTCACAGGGAAATGCTCCTTCAGCCAAACGATAAATTTACAATACTTTAAGAAAATAGAAGAAATGTTATCTGGTCCAGAACTAGACTTTGATTGATGGTACTACAAAGACTAAAAGTTAACAGCAAAATGTTTTACAATAGATCATTCTTAGTAAACTTCTACAAATCCTTTTAGAATTAACTCAACAACAAATTTTTTTTTGGATCAGATGTAATAAACATGCGTAGATTGTTAAAAAGAGCAAAATCTCTCCCAACAGAGCTTTTACAATCTGTCCTCTCCCTCTCCCCCTAATTTAATATTTTTGGGCTAAACCTGCCTAAAACGAGAAATTTGAAGATTCTAATATTTTAATTACTCATATTTCTAAATTTGCTACATCGAAATACAAATACTTTCCAGAATTTTCTGAAATGCAAAAATTCTCTGATCAAATATACAATTGACTGCACAACAAAATCTCTCACCCAACACACTGAACGTTAGGAGATCTGCAAGTTAATATCAAGAGGATGTTTCACACTCTTCTCTGATCCGCGTGCAATTAAGTAGATGCACCCATTCCTGGTGCAGCTATGCTGTTGTCAGGTTGAGAATGAAAGTGTGAAAGAATGAATGAAAGTGTGAAAGAATGAACGAAAGTAAAAGAAATAGTGAATAAAATAATGTGCTCGTAATCACTAATACATGTAAAAATATTTGATTTTCCTAAAGAATAAAAAATGCTCAATTTAATTCTTTTGAGATCAATTTTAGATGTCAAAACGTTAACTTTTCATGCCAAATGTTTATTAAATGCCTGGTTTAATAATTTTGTACCCTATTTTATTTTTATATCTGAAAGTGCCTAATTTCATAATTTTGTGACCTCTTTGAGGTGCCTAAATTACTTTTTTGTGCCAAAAATTCTGAGCTTTAGTCATGACAATGCTAAGGAGCAAAATAATTCTACAGGGTTCTTTGTCAGGTATTGAAGTTTGCTCTCATGAAAGGATTCCTTCTTGGGGGCTTGTACCTTCCGAATCTCCCGCCATTTAGAAAGGTAGGGCATTTGTTGGTGTTGGCAACATGGACTTAACATGGTGCAGTTGTGTAACACAGGGTTCTACTTCATGCATTTATTTAGCCATGCACCTTAGCTGAATCTTTAGCAAATCAGTTCAAAGAATTATGTACATATTGTCACACAAAGATTTTAGAATTCACAATACCTCCTTTATGGGAGTGATGGGAGAACATTAGAAACAGGTTAGGAATGATCTTTCTCCCATGCCCTTTCCTCTTGATCCTATACAACTTGGTGATGACCTGACTTTTACAGGAGAGAAATTTCTCCTCAATTTCTGATGAAAAATATTAATAGTTGACCACTCTCTTGCAAATTTTGATGAGAGAAGGGTAGGGCGAGTGATCCCTTCTACATAGAGGGCGGCAATCTGCTTGGTTTTGGAGATTTTGCCAATTTGCTTTGTCTGTGCTAGCTACCACAGTAGTATCATTTCTCTGTCGCACTTCTGCTGGGAGCTTTCCAAAACTTCTGTGGCACATGCCAGATGGACTGCACTGACACTTTTAAATGTTTTTCTTTCCTCGAAGTAAACTACAAAGACAAAACGTAATTTCTTCTGTTTTCTTCCCAAAGGAAAAAAAATCCTATTCAGTTCAATGGTACATTCAAAACATCTCTTCCATCTGGAGAAAGGCAAGGGAGTGGGGTTATGTTACATATGATGGATCCCTGACATCCCTCTCCACCATGAAATTCAACAAAGGAACACCCCATGGGGGTGCCAAGGTTGAAACAAATATAAAGAGGATGATGACACAGCACTGCCCAACTGTGAATTCCTGGCTCACAGATACAGCTTGAACTGATTGATCAGGAGTAGATTAGCTCCCCACTGCCCCACTAGAGCAGCACAAGTACACTCCTACAAGCAGACATCAGAACTTACCACAGTTCACACAATGAACAGAGAACAGAGTCTACTCCAAGATTCCAGTGTCAGGGGACATGCATTTTCAAAAGTCTAAAAATAAGCTTTTTTCTTTGGAAGCTTTTGGAAGTATCTTCTTTTCCCAAAACATTAAAAACTTATACTACTAGATTCGCATCAGCACAGACTCTTACCTTCCTTATGTTGAGAGAAAAAAAGGTACTTGTCAGTTTGTGTCCGTTTTAATCATTACATCTCCAAACACAAACGTGCATTATTAGATAATAGTTGTGGAGTGTGTTACCAGTGAATTGAACTACAGAGTGGAAGCATGTCATGACTCTCACTGCCTAGTGGTCTTGGTGGATCTTATATGATCTTGCATCTTAAAAGGTCATGTTGGTACAAGTTAAAAATTCAATAAAGAATTTTGGGGTTATGTTTTATGGTAGTTGAAAAAGATTTAGCAGGTCTGCTTTGAAAAAGTTTGGAGTAATATTTATTCTTAGCCATGTGAATTAAGGCATTCATAGTCTGTGAATTAAGGCATAATTTTTCATACCATCACTTCAACACTAAATTATTAAAATAAGTAGTTTCTTGGCAAGAAATCAGACACATTTTGATTTTGTTGTGCATGAACACAAAAAAAATGGGTGTTTATAAACTGAACAAGTCATTTCAGGTCTAAAAACAACACTAACATATTTTCGATAATACAATAAAAAAGGGTCATTTTGCTGAGAAATTATTTGCTACTGCTCAGCAAACTAGTTGAAGTTTCTATTGCTTCACAATGTATGGATTTTGCTTGAGGTGAGTCAAATCAGGCACTTCAAATTAATGTTTGGGAAAAGATGTTTTGTGAGACGAGAGTGACAAGGTTTAAAAGCTATGCATAACACCACTCCATAGGTGTACGAGTAAAAATTGTAATGAAATTTTAATTTTTTTACATTAAGAAGACTCTGATTTTGTTGTTGTTTTCACCAGAAATGACTCGCTAGTATTTTCATATATATATCTAATTTAATGAAATATAGAATAATCTTATCTTACCAGAAGAGAAAACAGATACTGATGCCAAAACATCTTGTTGACTACTCGAAGGAGATTTTAACTGAGTCCGACCATTTGAACCTGCATTATGATCAGTTGGATGCTGACCAGATTTAAGAAACGTATGCGCAGGAAGACTTGTGCCTCTGTACTGTGGCATCTAAAATAATAAAGAAACAAAATAATAGATATAATGTTATCATAAGAATTTTTGTTAATAACCAATAGCCTTCCTATGTGTCTCAAACTCTCATCAGCTTTATGCATTAGGTAGAGACCACATGGTCAATTTATAATTAAATGTTCACTACAGATGACTTTAAAGTAATAATAGTGTGTTGTTTTTGTGCATTTGTGAAATCTAGTGACCTGTAGGAAATAATAATAATAATAATAATAAAAAAAAAAGTTTTTCCAAAATTGGAAGTATGGACACTGCTCAAGAACGGCAATAAAAAACTCCTGTATAACATGCAATACAATACTATAGAACTACCATAAAAACCTGTCCAAGACAAAATCTCTGAAGACAAACCTGCCATTCTTGAACAAAAAAAAAAAAAAAAAAAAAAAAAAAAATATACATATATATATCTGAACAGAACAATTTCATACTTGAAAATTTAATGTCTAAGCTTGAAAACTGTCTAAAGTGGAAACTGAATGGTTTTTTGCGAGAATATAAATAGATTATTACAAGGCTAAGAAGGAATCTTATTTGTAAATTTCCAGCACTATCTTTGGAATGGCACAGAGTTAAGAGTGAAATACAGTGAATGATGAGTTATTCCCCATGTACCTGCTGTTGGGGCATCTTGGCAAACATTGTGACTGTTTTGAAGTGCCTTTCTCACGGTTTGGTATGATGTTTAAAGTTGCAACAAGCATGACTTCATCGCTGTCCCCATATCCTTAATGTTCAATGTGTGCATCCCATTCAAATATCGAAAGTGTTCCCCATGTTTTCATCAGGATTCAGGAAGGCAGTCTTGTCATCCTAGCGAAGTAGTTGTAGGGTTGACGAGGTGCAGGCCACAGAATTTAGTGACTGCATGCAGTATAGTGCAAGAAAGCCGTGTGTCAAAATGTCTTCGACACATATGTGCAAAACCCTTCCACTACAAAAGAAAATGGATATGATTGAAGAACACTAGAAGAAGAAAAAGTTCCGTAAAAGACCTAGTTGTGGAAATAGAAGTGAGTAAAACTCAAATATATGTCATTATGAAATTTAGACAAAATTCAAAATGAATGGTTAAAAGGAAAGAATTATAATGAAAGTACTGTTCTCAAATTATATGGTGAATTTTTGCAATCTTTGTTAGGATAGAAACCTGTCAAGATGGACATTTTTTGAAGGAATCAAACAGAATTCAATGGCTTAGCTAAATAATGTTAGTTTCGGATGCAAGAACAACATAGGCACCAATAAAACTATTTTTAAAATAGTTGAACACTCCCTTTTTTGGCCTACCTTCTTAAAAAAAAAAAAAAAAAAAAAAAAAAAAAAAAAAAAAAAAAAGAAATTATTTAGAGGTGCTTTTATCAACTGATTTTGGCAGAGGTGGGGCCCACACTATCCTACAACAATTTTATAATTATAAACATTACTTATTTGACACAAACCATGAGCTACAATAGTTGAATTTGACCTATTTTACATTAAAACAACAGATTAAAATATCTGACAATTTTCTAGTTAGTACATGCAAACAACTGGAAACATAAAAATGAGTTTCTACTATCTCATTAAAATTCTTGTTTATTCTTTCTTTATTTTTCAGCATTTTCTAGTTTGTTAATTTACCCACTCTAAGCTCCAATAAAAACTAATTATCAATGACAAATATAATAATAATTTAAAAAAAGTCATCATAACAATCTTCTAAAAGTTTGAGCTTTGTAATTGGGTGAATTTGAACCTCTCAAAAGTAAAAAACCTTCCTAAAGTACTTCCCTAAAGGGACCTCAGAGGAAGCATCATTGCCTAATTAATCATATTACAAAACACATTTAGAAACACTTGTAGTAAGTAAAATCGTACAGTTACTTCAAATAATTTTCTTTCTTTACAGACAACAGAAAAATTACAAAAGGGAACAAATTTTTTTAGATTTTTTCAACACAAATTTTGATTCTCACCTGGGAACTAAACCCTTGAAGACCCACAGGAGTGGCAGTTCCTGATTGGGTGCTGTAACCTTGTAAACCATAGGGAGATCCTGTTTGATGAAGAGGTTGACCAGAGGGTCCCTGCTGCAGTGTTGAATTAGTTGCCTGATAAAAACCTGCTTGGCCACCTAGAAAAGAAATTACCTTTTATAAAATCTTCCACTGATACCTACTAATACATATTTAGTGAAATGGTACAGCTATTTCACTCTTCTTTACAATGTAACACTATTTGACTTTGTTGCACCCCAGCATTAATGGTCACATATCTTTCTTAACTCCCCACTCCATTAACGTCCTCTCCCTGTAGATGAAGTTAGTGTGGTACATCCAATCTGGCATTTGCCTGATTCCCATTCCTCACATCGATACAGTCTGCAGGCCCCTATTGGACAACTGTAATTACATACCCAGAGGCAGCACTTAACCCACTAACACTGGGGAAAGGACTTTCAGGAACGGTGGTGTCTGTTGCAACACAGCTCTCAGATCCTTGCCTCAATACCACTTAGGACAGGGCAGGGCAGGGCAGGGCAGGCACAGCCCACAATGCCACATTGCCTCACCATGCCCACTCCACTCTTGATGCAAGCTCGCTATTTAACTTGTGCTTTAGTGATCTTGACAGTCCAGGCTGGCAATTATACAATTAGTAATTATTATAAAATCTATAGCTGAAGGATATTGTAAGGAAGAAAAAACGCTGTTTGAAGAGATATCATTTAGACAATTCAAAAAATCTTGCTGTACAATAAGAGATGTTCACAATAAACATCTCACTAAAGAGAAGGAAAATCAGCATACAAAGAATACTTAACAATTAAAATAAACACTTACATATCCATTCAAGAACTAGTGAAAGTAGAAATCTACCTCCTCCCCTCACCCAAGACAGTGTTTAGCAAATAATGTTTACATCAATGTTAGGATGAAATATCAGTCTGTTCATTTGAATATGAGATTCTAAATATCTCTGACCACCTTTACAATAAAGTAGGAGAACCCAGAAGAGCGAAGTCCCAAAATTAACTGAAGTTCCCAAAATATCTGGTTTTGTGTAATTGTGGCATGAGGAGCATAACACCAGACCTTCAGCATTGAACAAAATTTCAGAGCCCTAGAACACAGATTGGCATGATTATGAAAGATTATTTTGAACAGATGCATGGGGAAACTCCAACATTAAGTGGGTCGTGTGGGTTGCATTACCAACTGCCTAATTTGAAATACTTTTTAACAATTCATCAACATCTGAGTGAAAGTGCAGTTCACCACCTTTCCGTGAAATTCATTTAATGTTGAGTGGTGCATGAAATGCTGCTGTTAAGTAAACTGGCATTGAAGATAAGATCAGTACAACATACTGATAAAGATAGAAAAGTAAAATCTTGATTGTAGATTCAAAACATTGCTTGTTTACCCAATACACACAACATATGATACGAAAAATATTCTGGATGTCTTGTGTGGTGGTAGATAGGACCATTTTGACACAGAATGAGATAATTGCAATATTTTTGTTTGGAACCAAAAATTACACGAACCCATTGCAGTAATAAAACGATTCCAACTAATGTACTTTAAATACAATTACTATGTATGGAAGTAGTACACTAAGACGACATGTACACCACACTGTATTATTCTAACAATAATGCACTGATAAAATATTCTCCAAAACTTGGATAACATATTTATCCACATCAAAACAAACACATTGCCTAATAACAATACCCTTGTTTTGGAAACCAATTTCAAAATAATCCCAAATTTTGAAGCTAGCAAATACAAAAATTAAAAATTTTTTGGGAATATTTACAAAAATTTGATAAATTGTTATAAAACAAAGCATTTAGAGATCTTTTATATTAACGCATTGGTTTACTTGTTTTTGTGCAGTAGATATCTTTTCTTCTGGTTAATTAAAATTCACCTACTTTTTCAGCATTCTTAGGATTTTTCAGATCCCAAATATCTTTGTCAAAATCAAGCTTTTGGAATATTGGAGAGAAATTAATTCTCTTCTATTGTGGAGAATTCCCCCCTAAACTTCTTCATAGTTTGTAAGAAAATTTGGATTCAATGTTTCCAAAAAATCACCATTTTTAGTCCCCTTATACTCAAACATTCGCAGATTTTTTAAAAATCATCATTAGAGATACTTTGAAGCTTGGGTATCAACAAATGCATCAAACAATGAAAAAACATATGTAAAGTAAATTTTAACATAACATACTTTTAAAAAAATTAAATTTTTGCAATTTTTGAAAATCCAAAAGAATGTAAAAAAAAATGACCTTCATGATATCTCATATAGTATATTTATCACTATTCATTCACAAATTAGGAGTAAACATTTGGAAGGTATTTATTATTGCCCGTATTTCAATCAAAATTGCTCGTAAACTATCGTTTTAAAAATAATGTACATGAAATAATGAAAGAACTAATTATTGAGAACAAGTTTCATTTGAAGAAAATATCGCCATCCTCAATACTGCAATTGTACAAAGACGTTGAAAAATTTATAAAGTTTTGGAAACTTTTTGAGAAAAATTTGAAAATACCGCAGTGGCTTCATGTAATGAACCTCCAAAAATTAAAGAATGTTTTTTAAAATCGCACAGCTTAGAGATGAGCCAGAGCCAGCAGGGAATATCCATTTTGAAAAAAATACTATGAATAGTTTAGATGCTAGTAATGTTCACACTTAATTAGTAAATTCCACAAAAGGCCAAGATTCATGAATGAATTTTATTGTTATTACATACTTGCACAGAACCAGTACACTAAGAAAGCAAAGCAGAACTAACATAAGCAGGCCAAAGCAATTTACCAGCAGGAAGTGGTGGAAACCACTTACCATTTGCTGGTACAAGTCAGGATCACTTCAAGTCAAGTTTTTCTTGTCCCTATGTTCTTTTCCCTAGAGATTGGTTGAATTTTGTAATTCAGAAAATTCTGTTTTGCTGTTTCTTTCACTTAATAAAGAGTGCAGCATTCTCTAGAATTCTGATTTACAATTATGTTTGAAGTATAACGATTCAAGAAATCTCAACATTTTGTATAATCTTCATCCAAAAACATCGAACAAAATAAATATTTTATTATCGTCCTCTTATATTTAAATCACACTAAGCCAACTATGCATCAAGCACAGCATGTCAATCTGTAAAAATGTCAAATGAATTCTATGAGTTTTCTATTCTTAGCAACCCTTAAGTTCCCTGAACTTGACTTCTAAGTTCTGTCATAAATACAAAACTTCCCTTTTTATATTTTCTAATCATTACTTTCTAGAATAACAGTGAAAATAAGATTGTCAAATAGTCCTAATTTTATCATGGAATATTATTTCTCTCCCTATTCCTTCAATTTAACTTCACATAGATTTCAAGTTACTACTTGTTCCTGGACATCTTTTGTAGGGTCTCCAGAGGAGTTAAATCTACAAAAAACCTAATAAGGATCCAAAAAGTCTAATTTGGTGAATACTCCTAAAGAAACAAGAATCCCATTTGGCTCCTACAATTTTCTTATCTGTAATCACATGTCCCCCAAACTAGGTGCCTTTAAGGACTTGAAAAAGCTGGTTTAAAGGCTTGTGATACATTGTTTCAAGTTGGGCTATTGTAGAGTGTGTGTTGCAGTAATCTATGCTCTACATCATATTCTGCATTAATTTTTATCTAAAATTTGTTTGATGCAGGACTGAGCAGTAATTCCCTATTAACTTATTATACACTATTCATTAACTTATTATCTAGTTTTTAAAATTATGTTTTACTACCAGCCCTAAGGATAGAAAAAAAATAATTTTCTTTTTGGAAACATCAGCAAAATATGTTTTAAAATCTTAATTCACTCTGACCAAATCCAGTAATGTACATTTCTTATTTCTACTTCACTGCCATAAAACTACTATGGTTTACAAAAACATTTTACCTCAACTGCAGGCAAGAAAAGAGATATGGAAAATACAAACTCCTCTTTTCATACACAGTTCATTCAGATTCTTTGTTACTGATGAAAAATGAGGATGATTAGAAAATTATAATGCTTTATCATCAGAAAGGATACCAGGTTCCATGGGGAATGAAGATCACAAACTAAAAAGGCAAGGAAGAAAAAGTAAGAAAATAATGGGAACTAACAGAAAAAAATAAAAGAACTTCAGAAGAAATACAACAATTTGCTACTCATCAGCTTTCTATGTCAGAAACAGAGGATTCAACATCAAGAAGGCAAGGAAGCAATGGTGACAACAGTGAAAATTCTTCTGTTGTTCAGCAAAATATCAGCAAGAGTTTTTACTCCTCTTGTTTCTTAAGTTATTGATAGGTGTTAAATCACCGATGGAAATGGAGTTTACACATGAATGGCTGCTGCAGTAGCTTTTGAGCTTGAACCTGAAAATCTGTTAAATAAGTGCAAAGTACACACAGAAATTTAGTCTGTAAGATTGCCAAGAATTAGTTTTGCACTGGTATGGAATGATACCTGACAGTACTACTGCTTCAAGACAAGGAGCAATTGCTAGGAGTTCCTGAAATCCCATCACCTTCAGGAAAAGAGCAAGCCATGGCGGTTTACTCAGCATTAGAGATGTGGGGTATAACTGATAAAATTCAGACAGTTTGCTTTGACATGATAGGAAGCAACATGTGTCAAGTAAGTGGTGCCTGTACGAATCTTGAAAAGTTGCATAATTGTGCCCTCTTGTACCTACCTTGCCTTCATAATATTAGTTAGCTATGAGGAACTATTTCGAATTGCTGATGATGATGATGATGGTGAAACTTCAGGGCCACATAAGGATAATTTCAAAAGATTTACATACACCTGGTCAAAACGCAACAAGAACTTCCACATGACAGGAAGGAATCAAGTTCCTGATTATGCCCGCTCTCCCATTCTTGGCCATCTTCAACACCAATGTTTTGTATAAAACCAACCACAAAATTATTATCAAGAACTGCTAATGTAAAGATTTTTCTTGGTGGCATTCTGTGGAACCGTATATCGTTTCTTAGGCCTAAAGCTGAGCTTCATGCTAGATGGCTGGCAAAGGCAATAAATGAACCTTGATGCATTAAGAATGAACCTATTTCAAGATCAATTTAAATAGTCTTAAAGGACTGCAAGAATAGGAGTTTTTCTTGCTTAAGTATACAACAGAGCTCAAGAACAACATTGTGACATCTGAAGCAATAAAGGCAACATGCCATGATTTACTATTCATGCATCAACTGATAAATTGCCCAGAAATCAGTGAAGCTGCTGAAAAAAAATAATTCAAATTCTCTCTAATACTTGGTTCCTGAAACGATGACTCTAGTCTTGTTTGATGACGATGTTCCAAAAGAGATGGAGGCAAAAAGTTATTCTGGACACAGACCAACATTTTACTACTTTAAAATGGATGTGTGAGTTACCATCTATCCAATCTGTCAAAATCCCACCATCTATGCACACATTCTGATTTGGATTAGACTTCTTTCAACCTCTACGTGGCAAAAATTCCTGAGAATGCTTTACGCAATAGTGCTGTCCACAAACGAAAGAAGAAGGAGGAGAAGAACAACAACAAAAAGAAGCTACAGAAAAAAGCCACAGCAGAAGAAAAAGAGGCTAAAGAAACTAGTAGAGCTATATCAGCAGCTAACTACTTTCTAACAACATTTGTAAGGATTAATAGAAGGATCAATACAATTAAAAATTTAAAATGAAATTAACAAATTCTTTTGCGACATTGATGTTGACATTGCATTTTTTTTTGGAAATGTGGGCAGATAGGGCTCAAAATTTGATTGTTCTACAAGATGAGATTGCATTTAATTCTGATCAATCACCCTCATATTCTATATCGTTATATTTACTAGAAAGCAGAAAAATGTTGTATATTATAAATATCACAAGTAATAAAAAATATGCTGTGGATCTGCTTCGAAATCTTAAAATATTAACATATATTTTTAACAAATGTATTAAGACAGTTATACTTTTGGACATTTTAAAGAAGCTGGGATTATTCTGATTTGGGTAAATATAGAACGTACTATAGATAAAGATATGTTATGCTGCAGAAAATAGATTACGAGATTTCAACAGATATACAATTTCAGATACTGAAAAAGTGTTTTTAAAAAAATGAAGATCCGTCTGTACGTGACTTTCGTGGAATAAGTTAATTAACGAGTCATAAACAAGTAATGAAATTAAATAATGTAAACAGAGAAGAACAAGCAGTAACTTATGGTGTTCCTCATGGAACAATATCGAGACAACTATTGTTTATACTATATAGAAATTATACACTTCAAACCTAGTTGAAAAGAGATTTGATATCTTTTGCTGATGATACTTCTGCTATAGTTAAAGCCTAGTCATGGACTGACTTTCCTAAAACTACTGTATTTACTATATACAGAAACAATTTGGATAGTAATCCGAAAAAATGTAATCTAGAGATACATAGAATTTCTTACAAAACTGAATACTGTGATTGTCCAGAGATAAACAGGGTTTTTTTACAAAATTAGGGACCTTGGTGTCATCTTTGGCTACAGAATGTCTTTCAAAGACCATTTTGATTTTATGGACAATAAGGCCAATCAGATGGTGGGTTTCATTATATTCTTAAGCATTCTTACACAGCAAATAACTCCTTTACAAGAATTTACTTTTTGTTAATGAATTTGATATTGATTTTTGTATTTAGAACGATTCTAAATTTGAAAGTGAATTGCGGAGCAAAATATGGAAATTTGAATAATAAATCTGATATTTTATTCATTGTATTTGTATAATTATATAGTTTCTTTTTAATCTAATTTTTCTTCATGTATGATGCACTATATTGTTATATTAAGTTGTTTACATATAAACAGTACAATTTTCTTGTGTACACAATTGGACAAATTGTTTGTTAATAAAAAATAAAATACCGAAGCATTCACATTGTTTGCACTTTACAACGTGTACATCTTATTTCAAAACTGCTAAAAAATGACATCAGATTTATAATTTTTATAAAATTGTCAAAAATACTCATATTTAACATCATTTAATATATATGCATTAAATATATATTAATGCATTAACCAATAAATATTTTGCATTTATTGGTTGCATAACTACATATGGTATAGCAAGGGACAAGCCTACACAAATTCTGTGATGCTTTTAAATATACAAAAGAAAATCATTATGATGAAACTTAAAAACTCATATCTGTCTGGAATCTTTTATAAAGAAAATTAAATACTTGACATTAGCAAACACTTAGTCATCGGGTCTGCATAAATACTCCTACTTACATAACAGATACAAGTTTAGCTGTCAATAAAAGAGTAGTCATTACAACTACCAATTATTAGAAAGGATTTTGCTACAAGAAACACTGTTTAAATAGAACACAGTGCTTTTATTTTATGGACTAATGTCTTCAAAACTTGAATATGAATATACTTTAATAAAACAAATAAAGAGGAAATATTTAAATTCCACAAAGAAGTGTTGGCGCCAGAAACATAGGAAGGTAGAAAAGAGATGGACGAAAAAGGAAAAAAATGGAAAGAAGCCTTTTAGCCCTTGATGGCCCCGAAGGGGGGGCCCCCATGACCGGGCTCCCCCCAACCCCCCTTGAAAGAAAGGATCATTTCTGCCAGTGTTCAGGTTAGGCCAAAACAATCCTGAGAAAGATCAAGGATGTGTCCCGACCGCCAGGGACGTGTGAGGCCCCAATTGTCTTTCAATGTTCCAAGGGGAAGAACTAAAATAAGTTAAAGATGATGGGGTGGACCAGGGCTAATACCCCAGTATATTCGAGGGCGATCTTATCAACCTTGAATAGGCCCGCCGGTAGAGTGCGTTTTGGTGGGGCCAGGGTTTAGGGGCGTGGGCTGCCTCCATGTGAGGATAGTGATAACAGAGGACGGATGGAGGGAGAGAGAAAAGAGAGAGGCCGCCGAATGTAATATAGGCATGCGAGAAGGCAGGGATGGGGGGGGGAAGGGGGCCAAAAGGCAGTCGAAAACCCCAAAACATGTGTGCAAGGGAGGGAGTCATGCGTGAAGGAAAAAGGGTAAAACCTAAGGAAGGGGGAAGGAAGAAGAGAAAAGGAGAAAACCTAAAACGGAAATATTTTTCGGGAAATGAGAAGAACCGAACCAGGTAGGGGGCAAGAATGATGGAAAGGAAAAGGAAAGAGGAGGGGAGAGGAGAGAAGGGAGGGGAGGAAGGAAGGAGGGGAGGGGGAAGGAGACAGGGCAGCCCAGCCCAAGGGAGGAAGGGAGGGGGAAGGGAGGGGGAGGAAGGAGGGGGGGAGGAAAGGGAGGGGGAGGAAGGAGGGGGGAAGGAAGGGAGGGGAGGAAAGGGAGGGGGAGGTAAGGGAAAGGGCGGGAGGAGGGAGGAAGGAGGAGGAGGGGGAGGAAGGAGGAGGGAGGGAGGGAGGAAGGTGGAGAGGAGCGGAAGGAAGGGAGGGGAGAGGAAGGGGGAGGGGGAGGGAGGGGAAAGGGAGGGGAGGGAGAAGGAAGCGGGAGGGGAGGAGGAAGAAGGGAGGGGGAGGGAGGAGGAGAAGGGAGGGGAGGAGGAGGAAGGAAGGGAGGCGGGCAGGGGGGAAGGAGGGGAGAGGGAGAGGGGAAGAGGGGAGGGGAGGGAGGGGAGAGGGGGGAGGGGGAAGGAGGGAGGAGGAGGAAGGGAGGAGGAGGAGGGGGAGGGAGGAAG